CAGGACTGCAGTGGTGGGGACCGCAAGGTGAGCCCAGGGCCTTCTGAGAATGACAGCATCCGGTCACTTAAGGATGTATGCTTTCCATTCAGTGTAGGGGACGTGCAGGTGGTCAAGGACGTGTACATCGTGTATGCCAGACATGGTGTACCAGGCGTGCTGCTCTCCCAACCTCTCACCCTCGTTCTACCCCCAGAAATTAGAGGAGCTGCTCATCAAAACTAAGAAGGAGAAGCCCACCTTCATCCCCTATTTCATCTGTGCCTGCAAGGAACTGCCCGGCAAGTTCCTACTGGGATACCAGCCCCGGGGTAAACCCAGGTGAGCACTGGTGCTGACAAGGTGCTGCCGCTGGGGTCCACAGCCAGGCTGGAAGGGAGCCAAATCCTGTCTGCTTGATTGCCTTGCTCCTCTTCTCTGTTAAGAACAGAGGTGGAGGTTGGAGGTGGGGAGAGGGTGATTGAGAGGCAAAGGTTCACATGAGAGGTGTGCTTGCATCAGCCCTGTGAGGAGCTCCCTGCACTCCGTCTCCCTCCCAGACATGACAGAAATCACCTGGCACTGCCCTACTTCACATGCCCAGAGGTCAGGGGTCAGCACATGGATAGCTGACTCCACCCTCTGCTTCCCCCAGCCCAGGACAGCTAGCTTCTGCTGCCAAGTGGCCCCAGTGCTCTCTGCGCTGAAATGGGTGGGTACTCCCTTCTGTGTGGGACTGGCTGGCTGGCCTTCTTTGTATCTGTTGTACAGACTGATCAGCACACCAGCCTTCTCAGCCCAAGCCCCACCCCACCCTCACCCGGGCCCTTGGCCACAGGTCTGCATTTCTGTTTTCATCGCTATACTGCCTGTACATGCTGCATGGCCTACACTGTCGGTGGGGTCAGTGGCAGACGGCAAGAAGCCGTGGACCCTGGGGACACTGCACTGTCCTGTGCACATCTGGAGTATGGTACTTGTTTCTGACTCCCCAAAATGCTTCCAGAGGATGGCAGCCAGAGTTGCATGTGGTCTGGAAACCCTGTTCCATGGGAAACAGTTGGCCAGAACCAGGAGCAGACTCAGCACGAGAGCTTCCTGGGGGAAGGAGCAGAGGACTTCTAGGAAGGAGGTTTTGGCTGAGCGTGGCAGACACCTTGCATTGTCTGTTGGCTGCTGAGAGCTGTCCTTAACTGTGCACATCCCTGTCTGAGGTGTGGGGAGGAGTCCATTGTGCACACTGTCTCAGTTAATACTCACAACCACCCTGGAGGTTTAGGTCCGGTTTTCCTCATTTTACAAATGAAGCCAAGACAGGTTTAGTAACTTGGTGTGGTAAATGGCAGACCTGGAACCAGGTCTGCGCTGGATCCCAACCTCTTAAGCACTGTCTGCTGATCTCAGAAGTGATTAAGGGCAGACTAACCCCCTGCCAAGGCCACTGCAGAAGTCTCTTGCTTAGACTTGGCCTTTGCTGCCCCCAGGAGGCCCCTTCCTCCCTGGCCTCCCCGTCAGCTGCTGTGTGGCCCTCATTCTGCAGCCCTGTTCTGTGATGCGGCCTCCAGCAAGCCTTCCTCTGGAACTTGTGTGCGGCTCCCAGTGGGCCGAAGAATCCTTGGCCTTGAGCTCGTGACCATGCACGCCTTCCCTCCCCACTCAGTGCAGCCTCCCCTCACAGGGCTGGGGACTGGTGCTGTCATCTCTGCTTCCCCAGCACCCAGTATGACTGTCGCACACGTTGGACATCTGTTCTGGTCGCACCCTCACAGCTGCCTCAAAGTGGGGTCTGATGAATGTTTCCTTCTAAAAATCCCAGGATAGAGTATGTAACGGTGACTCCAGAGGGATTCCGGTACCGAGGCCAGATCTTCCCCACTGTGAATGGACTCTTCAGGTGGTTTAAGGATCATTACCAGGATCCTGTACCAGGTGAGCCCCACTGTCGCCTGACTTTCAGGCTGTGGTTGGAGGACCATGCAAGGGTGGTCACTGGCCCTGACTAAGCGGTCTTGTTGCTCCCACCACGGCCTTGCCTCAGGCAGGCGCTCCACGCAGTGTGCTGGTGTGCAGTGCTTCCTTCTCCACCTAGCTCAGCAGCTCTTCCCAAAGTCCTGATCCAGGAAGCCAGGACTCGGTTGCTGGAGGGACGCAACTAACTATAGCCATCCCCTCAGGTATCACTCCCAGCAGCAGCAGCAGGACCCGGACACCTGCCTCCATCAACGCTACCCCAGCCAACATCAACCTCGCAGGTTAGGCACTTGGGCCTGGGCCTGGGGGTGGCGGGGATGAAGCTGGATGGACTTTGGCCTATAACATGCCATCCCCACTTCTGCGTGCTTACAGATCTGACGCGAGCTGTGAACGCCCTGCCCCAGAACATGACTTCACAGATGTTCAGTGCCATTGCTGCTGTGACAGGCCAAGGACAGAATCCTAATGCCACCCCAGCCCAGTGGGCCTCCAGCCAGTATGGCTATGGCGGCAGTGGAGGGGGCAGCAGCGCTTACCACGTATGTGGCCTGGGGCGGGGCTCCCTGTGCAGGGTGTGGAGGGGTCAAAGGGAACAGGCATCCTTTACCAACCACGTCCTACAGATAGGCCTCAGGAACTGTCCCCAACATGTGGTCCCTTTCCTCAGGCCTATTTTTCGGGAGCTGAGCTCCTCAGTGTCCTTTGGGAACCTTTGATCCCCGCAAGCCACAGAAAGCAGCAGTGGTCAGGACTGGTGGGCTCTGCTGTGTGCCAAGTACCATTCTGTCAGCTCCCCTCAGCTCTCAGAACCACTTAGTGCTGAGCTACCCCTTACCACGTGCCAGAAGTCCACAGGATCAGGCCAGCCAAACCCAGCCCCACTTAACTGTTTTATCCTTTGCAGGTATTCCCAACGCCAGCTCAGCAACCAGTGGCCACACCACTAATGACCCCCAGCTATTCCTACACAACCCCAAGCCAGCCAATCACCACCCCACAGTACCACCAGCTTCAGGCCAGCACCACCCCACAGACTGCACAGGCCCAGCCCCAGCCCTCTTCCAGCTCCCGGCAAAGGCAGCAGCAGCCAAAGTAAGTGTCAGGACAGCAGACTGGGCAGGGCAGCAGGAGGGGCTTAGCACACTGGGCACAGGCAGATGCTCCGCCACCTCTGTCAGCCAAGAGCTCTGTACACTGCCCTACCACAGCAGAGGGGCTACAGCCCGCAGGGGCGGGGTCCCTTTCTGTTAGGGTGGGCACTCACCAGGGATCACTGGGAAGGCTGCCGTCTCGCAAGCCCCTGGAGAGTGCCTGCCTCCAAGGCCGTTCGTTTCTCCTCTCAGGTCCAACAGCCATGCAGCCATCGACTGGGGGAAGATGGCGGAGCAGTGGCTACAGGAGAAGGAGGCAGAACGGAGGAAACAGAAGCAGCGGCTGACACCTCGGCCCTCCCCCAGCCCCATGATCGAAAGCACGCCCATGTCCATCGCTGGCGACGCCACCCCGCTCCTGGATGAGATGGATCGGTAGGGGCTGCTCCTTGGACTCTGATGACCTCCAAGGCTGAGAGGAGCCTGGCCACCTACTGCCTCACTCCCTGCCCCTCCTTTTCTGTCCATAAGGTGGTATGGCAGGATGGTCAGCCTGGATGGGTGACAGGCTGGATGGCCTTGTGAACTTGAGCTCAGCAAATGCTAGGCAGCAATTCTCCCACTCCAGACCCTTACTGACCACCTGTCCAGGGACCAGGCTGGGGAAGTGTGGCAGGGAAGAGAAGGAGAGGGGAGCAGTTTTGTATTTTACTCCCTACAAGCCATGTGAGCTTCTGCCCTCAGCTGACTGAGCTGCGAGAGGCACCAAGCTCAGCACGCGTGTCTCCCCGGCGCTGGTGGGGAGAGGGATGCTATTTATTCAGTTTGGGGCAGGAGGGAGAGGAAGGGAAGTATTTCTAGCCCTGATGCCAACAGCGTGGGTGACTGTCAGAGCAGGGCCGCGGGGGAACAGTGCTCACTTGCCCAGCCCCTGCCTGGCCATCCTCACCCGCCTGCTGCTGCGCTCCCTGCCTGTCATTTGAATAAACAGTGTTTCTACAGAGCACTCCCCGAAGCCTCTCTCCAGCGTGCGACCGTGCAGGGCTGCCCGCCTCCACTCCACAGCGGCCACAAGTGACGCCCCTGTTCTACTTCAGCCCAGGCCTTTAACCTTTTGTAAGCACCTGTTGCCCTAAGGCCAGCTTTCTCATCTGCAAGCCAGGCCTGCCTCTGCAAGGGGTAAGACAGGAGCGTGTGAACTGCTTAGCCCAGTGCCTGTCACTTGTCACTGTGGCACAGTGGAAGCGGTTCCACAGGGACATCTGGCTTTCTCACCGTGAGTCCTGGCACCACCCCCCTTTCCCAGCTGGGCTTTGGCCTCTGACAACCTCTAAGCAAATCATGTTTCTGCCCCAGGGTGGGCCCCACACTCACCTGCTCCCATATCCTTCCCACCCTGGCTTGGGAGCAGCCAGCCCCTGACTCCTGATCTGCCTGCTTCTTCATGGGGGCTCAGTGCGGGGAAAGGGAGGCTTCCCTTCCCTTTCCTCTACTGAAAGAAAAGGCCACTGCACCCCAGACTGGCCATGTGTTGGCAGGAGCTGGGGGAAGGGCCTATTCCATTGCCAGGAGCTCAGCTGCACCCCGTTCACAGAAGGCCTGCGAGAGTCTAGAAGGAGCAGGACTGCACCAGCTGGGGTGTCCCAGCAGAGTGCACAGCACCTTCCCCAGGGCCACTGAGAGGAGGGAAAGGCCAGGCAGAGTAGCTTAAAGGTTCAGGTTTATTGGGGGTATTGCCTGTCCCAGAAGTTAGACCAGGCTTCCAGGAGCAGTGAGCCCTTGCACCCCAATCCTGGTCCTAGATGCTACACAGAAATGTGTAGCCCTTCCCCACCACCACTACCACCACTACCTTCCCCTGGTGACCCTGCCACTCCTTGCTCTGGCTGTGCCCAGAACCTACCCCATCCCCCCAGATGGCCTATTCGGAGGGACAGGACAGCACCAGGGGTCGGCTACAGGCTTGACGGCATTTATTCGTCACCCTGGTTGCGCTGACTTCAGCTAAGATTGGGGTTGGACACAGGGGGGGATTTCCTTTTGGTCACCTTCCTGGCTTGTGTGGTCTTCACCCCGGTCTTCCTGGTCTGGGCGCCGTTCTTCTCTTTCTTCTTAGGTGATGACGACTCCAGCACGTCCTCACTGGAGGGCTCACCCTGGCCCCGGTCGTTGTAACTGTCCTCACTCTCCAGGTCTTCCCGGCTCTCTGGGCTGGACTCTGACATCCTGGCCAATTCTCTTGGGCTTAAAGATCGCGTCAGATCTGGAGGCGAAGACTCCGACTTCACTGGGCTTTTCTTCTTAGTCAGCTTGCCTTTCTTGGGTTTTTTCTTCAACTTCGTCTTCTCGTCCATCGTCTCCTCCTCCTTGTCTTTCTTCTTCTTTACCTTCTTGATTACCTTGCCTCCCAGGCTCTTCCCGGCCGGGCTGTCTGACCGCCAGATGGTGATGGGTGCTGGCGTGTCCGGGGCACTGGTGACTGTGACAGTGCACGTGTCAGTGGGCGTGGTGGTGGTGGGCCCCACCTGGGTTGGGATGGGGGGCTTGCTTTCTTCCTCCTCCTCCTCTTCCTCTCCATTTAGATCATCTGCTGCACACTCATGGTGTATGGGGTGGTGGATCACTGCCACAGACACAGGCCTGTAGCTTTTGCACCTAGGCACAGGGGCACAGAGAAGGCTCACTGGGCGTGAGGGGAGATGCTTCATGTAGAAAAACCCATGTCAGCCTGCCCGCACTCACCAGCCATACCAGATCCTCTCCACACTCGCCTCCTCTGGGATGAGCTCAAAGCAAGGGGTCTGGATGATGTTACAGCAGGTAGAGCCCGAACCCAAGCCTGGACCCGGGCCCGAGCCCGAGCCCGAGCTGCGGGAACAGGCTGGGCCTGGGTCTCGGGAGCTGCTGCTACTGCTGCTGTTGGCCTTTTCTGAGCCGTCCTTCACCCTGCCACAAAGGGGACTCAGCCTGACTCCTGTACCCCAGGTGCCACCAGGGCCCACAATCGGAAACCTGAGACAGCAGGCTTCTGCTGGGGTGGGCCTGGGCTGCCCAGAGACCTCCCCACTGCTCTAGGGTGAGGAAGGCTTTGAGCTGAGGCCTGACAGTGCCAGGTCAAAGCTGAAGGGGGACCCCTCAGTGACAGTTGGCCTTTGGCTCTGCCCTGGGTCCCTGGGGAGGGATCCTCACCTGGAATCACAGTCACAGTGGCTGATGGTGTGCAGGTGCAGGTTGCAGTGGCCGTACTCAGAGAAGGGGTGGATGATGTGCGCCGTGCACTGCTTGTGTTTGCAGCAGCACGTGTCCGTCTCCTTGCACTCACCTGGGGGGTGGGGAGGTGTTCCGAGTCCCACCTCTGTCTCCCTCAGAGCTTAGTCAGGCCTCACATTGACCTGCCTGCCACTGCCACCTGCCCCTCCCCAAACTGTTCTACTTCAGCTCAGCCCAGCAGTAACTGCAGGGCCTGGCACTGCCCTTCCCACTGCCTCAAATGCCTGCACACTCCTTGGACAGCGTCTGCTACTGGTCCTCAGTCCCCTTGCTGGCCTGTGACACCTAGCCACTTCTCCCAAGTCCCTCTGACTCCTGCTACAGCTACCGTACTATACAAGGTACTAGGTTGGAAGGCCCCATGGCCTGGCAGAATGGAGCCCCAGGAACCCCTACATAGGCCCAGAAGGCTCCCATCTGACCCCCACAGCGTGTGAAGCACCCCAAACCCGGTGTGGAGTGGCCCAGACCTAGAGAGGAGCCGATGCCTCACCCACCCCCAGCATGCTCTGGGTTGCTCCTTCTGACTGCTCCCCCTCTGCCTCTCCCTCTTGGCACTGTTTCCCCTTTCCCATGCCCTCCTTGGTTCTCTCCCTCTCTACTCATCCAGTTCCCTCCCTTCCCCGCTCCCCAGTCCCTAGAGCGAAAGACTTGGGCTCCTGCAGCCTGCACCCCTCTACCTCCTTGCCAGCAGCCTAGACACTGTTCCCTTCCGTCCCCTTCCATCAGGCACAAGGACAAGCTGCTGGGGGTGTGGTAAACGCCTTGGAGAAAGCCTCCCACCCCAGCCTCTTGCCAAGTATCCCAGGTCCACCCCCACTGCCTAACCTCTAAACCTCAGGTCCCTGGCCACCACTGTCTCTCCCTCCAGGCCACCATCTTTAAAAGGTGAGCCCATCAGCACAGGTGATGCCACAAGCCTCTTTGAAGTGAGGAGCCCAAGGTCTCACACCCAGGCAGAGGACAGGGTCCCGTCTACAGCTTCCCCTGGACCTTGGGGAGGAGGTGGGCAGGCACCGAGGAGTTCCAGGGCAACCTGGCAGGGGCTCTAACAGGCTACAAAGACCATGCCTTGATCCAGTGCCCAGGGAGGGTGGAACACGGGCCAGCCTCTGCTGGCCACCAGTCAGGACTTAAGGCACATGAGAAACAAGACAGCAGCATGGTCCGAGGCTCTCCCTCCCTCCCTCCTTTCTTCCCCCCACCCCAGTGCAAGGCTGGGAGGTGCCCAGAGCCCCACCACATCCCCAGCCCCTTTGGATTCTGCTTCCTCATCCTGTGCCCTTTCTCTACCCCTAGAAGAAATACGGCCTGGTAGCATGGCCCGGGGACATCACCACCACCTCGGGGTTCTTCAGCAGAGTGATGAGTGGCCAGAGATGAGGGGCAGGCCTGAGAGGGAGTCGTTCACTGAGCCTTTGTTTGCTCATGCACGAGATGAGATGGTGGTGATGTATTCAGCAGGGGTGCCAAGAGGACTCCGTTCATGGGTGTCAGGATGGTGTGAAGGGCCCTCCCTCCCTGGCAGGCGTGGCGGCAGGAGCGGTAGGGTAGCCCCCCAGGACCAAACGTGTTTCCTTCCTTCACACCACGTGGCAGGTCTCCCAAGAGATGGGTGGGGTATCCTGGGGCCAGAGCCCCCCGAGACCCACCTTCAGATGAGAAGATGGACGCATCAGTGCTGGATGCCACACCAGCCAGCGGACGTCCTCTCTCCCAGCTGGGTAACCTGTTTATATCTGAGAGAGCATAGAGGGCAGTGGGCAGCAGCCCCTCCACTCATTCACCTAACGTTTCCCCTAGGAGCCTGTGCAGCAGGTCCTGGAGATGCCAAGAATTAAGAAACAGACCCTGCTCTTGTGGCTGGGGAGAGGGGTGGGGGCGGATACAGGGAAGGTCTTGACAGAAGTGTGCAGCACACTCAGGAAATGGAGGTAAAGGCAAGGACCACCTGCCAAGACTGGGGAGGGCGGAGACAGGGGAGCAGGGAGGACTTTTTGGGAGGAGCACCATGGGACCTGGGCTGATGAACTGGAGTGAGCTAGGTCTAGGCCAGGAGGGGTAGTTCCAGCAATTACCCCAGGGATGTGGAACCTGGTCAGAGGGTGGCCCTGGGGTAACATCTCCAACTGGGTGGGCAGCTCCCCAGCCATCAGCACCCACAGGGGAGAATCTGCCACTGAATTTGAGCCTTGCTTAAATTGCTAGGGTCTTCAATGGACCCCAAGCCTCCTCCCACAAGTCCCTGGTCAGTGCCTGCTCCTCTTTTCCACAGCACAGTAATATTCATATGAGTGACTCCAAGTACTTCCTGGAAACCCCTGTGCTGCTGCTCCTGTCCCTCCTGGCAGATCACTTCACCAGCGCTGTCTGAATACTCTGTCCTCACCAACTCCTCCATCCTGGAGAAGCAGTGGCCAAAAGAATCTGTAACACTTGAGGCAGGCGCTGTGGCATACAGGTAAAACCGCCGCCTGCAGTGCTGGCAGCCCATATGGGCACTGGTTCCTGTCCCGGCTGCTCCATTTCCAATCTAGCTCTCTGCTATGGCCTGGGAAAGCAGTGGAGGATGGCCCAAGTCCTTGGGCCCCTGCACCCACGTGGGAGACCTGGAAGAAGCTCCTGGCTTCCGATCAGCCCAGCTCCAGCCATTGTGGCCAACTGGGGAATAAACCACCGGATGGAAGACCTCTCTCTCTCTCTTGAAGCGGCGCCGGCTTCAAGTAAATATTTTTTTTAAAACAAATTCTTATTAAAAAAAAAATCTGGCCGGCGCCGCGGCTCACTAGGCTAATCCTCCGCCTAGCGGTGCTGGCACACCGGGTTCTAGTCCCGGTTGGGGCGCCAGATTCTGTCCCGGTTGCCCCTCTTCCAGGCCAGCTCTCTGCTGTGGCCAGGGAGTGCAGTGGAGGATGGCCCAGGTGCTTGGGCCCTGCACCCCATGGGAGACCAGGAAAAGCACCTGGTTCCTGGCTCCTGCCATCGGATCAGTGCGGTGCGCCAGCCGCAGCGCGCCGGCCGCGGCGGCCATTGGAGAGTGAACCAACGGCAAAGGAAGACCTTTCTCTCTGTCTCTCTCTCTCACTGTCCACTCTGCCTGTCAAAAAAAAAAAAAAAAAAAATCTAACATCAGGTCCAGGCCAGAATTGTCACCTCTCCCTCTTACTGGCTTTTCCGCTTCCTACAGGCTACAAACATCTTGAAACAAAGCACTCTCAGCCCCGTTCCCCCCTCTGTCACTGCACAGCCCCCCTTTCCTTTCCAAGGTTACCTGCTCATTGCCTGGACAGCTCCACTAGGCGCCGGGGAAGGAGACCCAGCCTCTTGCAGCGAGCTCTGGGTCCCCGCCTTTCTTCTAGCAAGCCACCTGCCACACGGCAGCCCTCTATGAGAACAGTCTCGGCAAAGGCCGCCAGCAGTTCCCTAAAAGCTGTGCCGGTTCCTCTCATCCCACCCGTCTTGGCTTACTGTACACTGTGCTCCTGGGCCTTCCAGCACAGACCTCATCTCACCCTTCCTCTGCATAACTCCTGGGTTCTCTCCTGCCACCTTTGCTCTTCTGCCAAACCCCTTTAAATCAGGGATTAAGACACACACTTGCCCTAAATTATGTCATCTACTTCCATGGTTTCACCATCCACTAATAAAATGGCGTACATCTGGGTGTGTACAGACTGCTTTCCCAAGCAAGTAGCCTGTATTCTCTTGGATGGTTCCAAACATCTTAAGATCAACATGTCCTGTGTGAATCTGCATCTTTTTCCTACTCAACCCCATGAACCTCATGCTCTTGTGTCTTCCATTTCATACAGCAACTGACACCACAGCTGGAAATGCAGGCTCCTCTTTCTCCTCCCACACCCACTTGCTGAGCAAGTCTGACCGTGGCCACCTGCCGCCCAGCATGTGCCTAGGTCTTGGTTCAGACCTTTACCAACTGTCTATGACCTAGACAGCTGTAGTAGCCTCTGCCTGGCTTCCCCCCCCCCCCCCGCCCCCTTTAAAGATTTATTTGAAAGGCAGAGAGAGAGTCTTCCGTCTGCTGGTTCACTCCCCAAAATGGCCTCAACAGCTGGAGCTGGGCCGATCAGGAGCCTGGAGCTTCTGGGTCTCCTACATGGGAGCAGGGCCCAAGGACTTGAGCCATCTGCTGCTGCTCTCCCAGGCACATTAGCAGGGAGCTGAAGTGGAGCAGCCGTGACTCGAACTGGTGGCCATATGGGATACCAGCGTTGTGGCGTAGTGAGTAAAGCTGCCGCCTGCCCCTTCCTGCCTTCTATCTCACAACCTCATCCAGTCCTCACAAGGCAGCCAGAATGAGTTTTCTAGAATGCAGTTGGTTTACCACACAGATCCTTTTTATTAGCAGCCCACTGCCTTCATGATGAAATACAAGCTCCTGGCCGGCGCCGCGGCTCAATAGGATAATCCTCCGCCTAGTGGCGCCGGCACACCGGGTTCTGGTCCTGGTCGGAGCGCTGGATTCTGCCCCGGTTGCCCCTCTTCCAGGCCAGCTCTCTGCTGTGGCCAGGGAGTGCAGTGGGGGGTGGCCCGGGTGCTTGGGCCCTGCACCCCATGGGAGACCAGGAGAAGTACCTGGCTCCTGCCATCGGATCAGCGCGGTGCTCCAGCCACTGCGGCCATCGGAGGGTGAACCAACGGCAAAGGAAGACCTTTCTCTCTGTCTCTCTCTCTCACTGTCCACTCTGTCAAAAAAAAAATCTGGTTCCTCCTCCAGGTGTCAGTTGCTCAAACCCCTCCTGCCTCCATTCCTCTCACCTGGCCCCCACTCCCAAGAAACCCCTGCTTGTCTGGAAAATAACGTCATCCAACCAGAAGTGGCTGCACTGTCGTGTGTCCCTTTACCCTGCCCCGTGACATTTACCCTGGGACCCATGACATCCACGTATTTACAGCAAATACCAGATCTCATGTGCGTCTGCATCCGCAGAGCCTGCAACATCGAAGTGCTCAGCCCGTGTCTGTTGACTGAGAGAAGACATGAGAGCCACCAAGAGGCTGTGTCACTGAACAAGGCCAGGGTCCGAGCCTGGGGGCTTCTCTGGGGAAGGACTGACCCAGAATGTGCCTGTCACACCTGCCACTGTGCCAGGCTCCTGCACAGCCCTCACTGTCCTACGGACGGGAACACAGGGGCTCAGGGGAAGAGCTTGCCTGAAGACACGCTGATGGCTGGCAGGGGTGGGTCTCCCTTGTCCCATGGGCTGTGCTGCTTACACGCGCCCCAGAAAAGGTCCCTCCACGTGTCAGGAGCGCCACAGACGTTACCTCCCACTACACAAGCTTTTCAATTCCACCCACTCTGGCTTCACCTCACCCTGCCCCTACAGCCTCCCTTATCCAGCCTGGACGCTGAGGTCACTCCACAGGGGCTTGAGTCGGGGAAAGCAATCCAACTCTGCTCTGCCCGCCTCCACCGAACCCCTGTCTCCGGTGTCACCCAGCAGTGTGAGAGCCTGGCATTCTTCAGTAACCCCGCGCCCATCAGCTGTTTGTAAGGGGAGCCGGGAAACTCAAGGATTTAGTAACTCAGCTCTGAGAAAGGCAGCCCGCCCCTCCCCACACAGCAGCCCAGAGCGCCTGAGGCAGGAGTGATCGAAACTGGACACGGTGGGCATTTCGTAATGACTGAGGGGTGACAGCTTGAAAGGAAGAGAGAGGCTTTTCCCCGGTAAAGGCATTAACCGGAGCACGGACGCCTAACTCAAAACTCACAGGTGATGCTCATTTGCACAGGATCCTCTCCGTCCCGCGGCCCAAGGAGCTCCCCCAGCCCTTAAGGCACAAGGGGCGGGCACCAAAGTAGCCGAACGCGAGGAAGGGAGGGGAGGGAGGAGGGGGGGAGGGAGGAAGGGGGTGAGAACCGAGGAAGGGAAGGAAGGAGGGAGGAAGTGAGGGAGGGGCGATCCGCCCCTGCCCCATCTAGAGACAATTGTGACGTCACGGCGTGGAACCCCCGGACCCCTTCCCGCCCTCAGGGTCAATGGAACCGGCCCTCGCGGCTCCAGTGAAGCCCAGCGCCTCCTGGGCGAGGGCCTGAGCCCGCGGCTGCGGCCCAGCGGGGCCCTTTCAGCCCCCAGCCGGACTGACCCCACAGACAGAGTGGACTCGGGCCCCCGTCCTCAACCATTGGCCCACGGCCCCGGGCGAGCCCGCCCCCAGCCCCGGCTCCGCCCCGGGCCCGCCTTACCGCCGCTCTCGCTCTCCTCCCAGTCGTCGGCCTTGCACCCGGTCTTTTCCTTCGTCCACCTTTCAATCCTTAGCGTCGTCCTGACCCACATCGCTCTCGGCCCAGTTCTCCTACAGGACTCCGCCTCGCACAAGTCCAACCTCGGCCCCGCACAAGTCCAGCTCCACCGTCGGCTCCGCCCGGGCTGGCCCCTAGCCCCGCCTCATGGTGCCCGCCTCCGCCCGCGCCCCCCGCCCCGCTCTAGGCTGCGTGGTCTCCCGCAGGATCTAAGCGTCAGCCGCGTTCTTCATCCGGGGCCTCCCCGCTCGTCCCAGGTCCCTGTCGTCCCACCTTCTGAGCCCAGTGCCTCCCCTTTACCTTATGGGCCCGGCCCTCACTCCCATCCCTAGTTCTCTCCAGACCCGGCGCTTCGTCCAACCCCCAGGCCCGCACCCGACCCTGGACCGCGCCGCCACGCCGGGTCCCACGCCCGCCCCCGCCCCCAGCCGCGCGGGCCCACCCCACGTTCTCTAACCCGCGCTGCCCTTCGCTTCGCTTCCGAACCCGGCCGCGGGCCCGCGGGAGCGACCCCCTCGGAGCGCCGCCGCCATCCCGACTGCCCCTCGGGTTCGGGCAGGAGGTCCGGCTCTCGGGCTCCCGGTCCTCGGGCCTCTCCACGGGAGTCCAAGGCCGAATTCTCGGATGAGGACGTGATGCCGGCTCCCACCCACTCTGGGGCAGCAGCCCCTGCGCGACCTTCCCACGGTTCCCCGAGTCCTCAGGGGGCACCCAGTCCGGGAGACAAGCGTGCCCAGTCAAGAGTCCATTTGCGTTTCCATAGGCTTGTGCCGTCTGTCCAGAGGGCACCCCGTCTGTCCAGAGGGCACCCCGTACGTAGTACACCCTTCACCTTAACCACAGGAGAAACACCGCGCACGCGCGTTGCAAGTCACTACAAAAAGATCTACCCAGCACCCGGGGATCCAGGACAACATGCACTCGTGGGCACAGCGCACAGAATGACTAGCGGCACTGACACTGGCCCCTGCACCCGTGCAGCACAAGCACTCCACACAGCAGGCTTCCCAGGGGCACACCAGGGTGAGGGTACAGAGATGGGAACAATAGTGAAAAAGTTACAGCCACGTCACTGGCATCCCAGCTCCTCTTGGCACTGGATTCCAAAGCCACGGCCATGCCTCAAAGAACAGAGAAGAGAAAGGGTGTGGCCATCGAGGACACTTGCTGCTGGGGCCACCGCGGCTGCCATGATGCCAACCTTCCCCTTCTCCAGACCCCGCCGCTGCCTGAATCCCCTCCAGCATTGTAGACTGTAGGAACTCCAGGCAGGGGAAGCCGCAGCGAGGTGTGCAAAAAGCCAAGCCCTCCTGCACGGGGTGGCCGAGTGAGGATGGAACCAAGCACGCACCAGACAGGTCACTCCTAATCGTGGTCCTCCACGGACTCCCCAGATGGCAGGAGACCACATGCGTTCATCTTTTTTGGCCCAGATATCTGAGGTACTTCCGGCCAATCTATGTCTCCGAGTCAGGTGTCAACAGGGAGCCAAGGTCTCGGTCACGGTTCCACATCTATCAGTGACCAGTCAGGGCACTTCCGGTCCTTGAGCTCTTGCTATTCCTGTCAAACACAGGTCCTCCTAGCTCAAAGCACAGCTTCTGAATAAGAGCCAGGGACCCTGCCCCTCCTGGGCCACCTGGTGAACCCCAAAGCAACCAACACTGTGTTTCTCTCTTTGCAGAAAAGGGAGGAAAAGGGTTAAAAATTCATCTACTGGGCCGGTGCAGTGGCTCACTAGGCTAATCCTCCGCCTGCGGCGCCGGCACACCAGGTTCTAGTCCTGGTTGGGGCGCCGGATTCTTTCCCGGTTGCCCCTCTTCCTGTCCAGCTCTCTGCTGTGGCCCGGGAAGGCAGTGGAGGATGGCCCAAGTGCTTGAGCCCTGCACCCCATGGGAGACCAGGAGGAAGCACCTGGCTCCTGGCTTCAGATCGGCGCAGCACACCAGCCGCAGCGCACCGGCTGTAGCGGCCATTTTGGGGGTGAACCAACGGAAGGAAGACCTTTCTCTCTGTCTCTCTCTTTCACTGTCTAACTCTGCCAGAAAAAAAAAAAATCATCTACTGGTGGACATTTAGGAGAAGGAGCCGAGGAAAGCGTTTGCAAAGCTGGCTTACCCAGGGAGGGTCTTGTGCAGCCTCCCAAACATGGCATCTGGGCTCCCAGCCTGCCTGGGCTCTGGCCAAGGCCGGGGTGGCCCGAGCCCCCACAGGAAGTACTGCTTCCCAAATGGCCAGCAGCCACGCCCCTTACATCCCCAACGAAGGACTCCAGTCCTGAAAGCGCAAGTAACAGAGATTTTAATGCATAAGGCACAATGTGAGGCTGGACTCACAGAGCATCTTTATACCCAAAAAGCTGAGCAGGCTGACGAGAGGCAGCGGGGACACTGCCCTACGCGCGCGCACACACACACACACACACACACACACTGCTGCGTATGCTGGAGAGCCCCTGGGGCATAGGAGAGCATCCAGTCTTTGGCATGGTGCCCAGGGGCCAGAAGTAAGTAGAATGGTCCCAGCTACCCCCTGGGGCATTGCCACCAAGGGGCAGCTCTTTGGTCTAGGAAAACAGTGCACACACCCATGGATCAAGCTCTGGGGCAGTCAGGGCGCCACAGTGCCCAGGGATGAGCAGTCTCTGGACCGTCCCCTCACCACTCAGGAGCAGCACGCAAGCTTCTTCTTGCTGGCAGTTAGGTAGAGGTTGCTGTCGTCACTGTTGATGCCTGAAGAAGCATGGGACAGATGTGCAGCAGGGACCGGAGGGTCCCCTTGCTCCCTGCCACCCCCGACCAGACAGGCACTCACGGACAACATCCCCGATGCGCCGGGCTCCAGACTTCTCTAGCTCAGCCAGCACGTTGGCCTCAAAGGTCAGTGCCGCCACACGGAAGAAGAATTCTCGAACGTTCTCACCTGACACGGGGAGCGGATGGGTACTCAGAGGCAGTGGCAGGTCTGGGGGCGCCGGGCACTGCTAGAGAGGCAGGAGTGAGAGAGGACAAGCAGGCAAGACAGCACTGCTGAGGCCTGAAGCCTGCAACTCACCAGTGAGAGAGGAGACCGCCCAGTACTCGGCCTTGATCTCTTGGGCCACCTTGAGTGCGTCCTTCTCCATGAGTGCGTACTGAGCAGGAGTCTGGGGGGACGGGAGAGTCAGGTGCGGGGATCCCCTCACCGAGCTGGGAGGCCCCCCACAGGCACACTCACACTCAGGTCCTTCTTGGAGCCCACAAGGAAGAGGAGCACACTGGCAGGGTCGTTCTCCTTCAGCGCGTCGGCCAGCCACTGCCTGCCACAGACGGCGGACAGTGAGGAATGAGGGAGCCCAGGGCGCCCCCACTGGCACCCGCACGCCCGCTTACTCCCTCTCTGCTCATGGACGCCACCCCTCTTTTCTGAGCCCTCTGTCCTCGGAGCTTCCCATTACATGAGAGCATCCTCACATACCTGGTGTGTTCCAGGGACGCCACGTCATTCAGGTTGAAGACAATAATGATGGCTGCAAGAGAGGTGGAAATGGCCCCAGGCTGACAAGGAAGACACCGTGTGCTCGCTGCCCCACTCCCCCCAGTTCTCAAGTAGGGGCCAAGCGCATGCGCAGGCCCCCCCCCCCCCCCGACACCACGTCACCCAGCCCATCACCTTGAGCTCCGCGGTAGTAGGTTGACGCGATGCACTTGAACCTCTCCTGTCCAGCGGTGTCCCAGCTGGGAGGAAGGGGGAGCGGAGCACAGGGACGTGAAGGGATGGGGTGCAGGTGTGGGGGCAGGCAGAGCTGAAGGCGGAGGAAACACTCACAGCTGCAGACTGAAGGGGACGCCCAAAACCTCGAACCGTTCCATCTCGAAGTCCACGCCGATGGTGGCCTTGTAATTCTTATCAAAGGTGTCTTTGCAGAACCTGCCGAGCAGGAGATGCTCTAGCCTAGGCCCCGCCCTGCCCTGCCCAGCCCCGCCCAGCCCAGCCCCAGCAGCCCCTTACCTATTAATGAGGCATGTCTTCCCCACCGACAGGTCTCCCACCACAATGACCTTGGAGATCTTAAATCTGTTGGACACAAGAGTGGGCACCAGCTCTTTCACCCTAGGGAGTGCCAAAGCTCCCTGCTGGGTTGAGAAAGGTACTGCCCCCAGCCTGAGGTTACCACGGACACCAGGTCTCCCAGGTAGCTGCCTGGACAGATGTACTGAGGACAAGGAGTATTTCAGAGTGCAGCATCAGAGACACGAATCTGAATTCCAGCCCTCACACTTACTAACATGACTTTGGATAAGTTATGCAGCCTCTTTGAATTTCAGTTGCAATATCTGTTACGTAGAGCTTTAGTATATGTTTTATTGGGCTGTTGTAAAAGTTAAAATTAGATATGTTTCCTATTTTAATTTTCATTTATCTTTGTTCATTTTATTCAGAAGACAGAAACAGACATCGAGGGGGAGAGAGAGAGAGAGAGAGAGAGAAACTTCCATTCACTAGTCTACTCCCCCAGGTGGCCACAACAGTCAAAGCTGGGCCAGCACAGCAGGAGGAGCCTGGACTCCATCCAGGTCTCCCACCTGGGTGGCAGGGACACAGGTACTCGAGCCTTGACATGCTGTCTCCCAGAGTGTGCACTGCTTCAGGAAGGCGGAATTGGGAATACAGCTAGGACTCAAACCCAGGAAGTCTGATGTGGGACATAGGAATCCCAAGCAGCAGCTTTTTTTTTTTTTTTTTTTAAGATTTACTTATTTGCAAGTCAGAGTTAGAGAGAGACGGACACACACAAACACACACAGATTTTTCCATCCGCTGGTTCACTCCCCAGATGGCTGCAATAGCCAGGGCTGGATCAGGCAAAAGCCAGGAGCCAGGAGCTTCATCCAGTTCTCCTACATGGGGGCAGGGGCCCAAGCATCTTGGGCCATCTTCTTCTGTTTTCCCAGGCCATTAGTACAGAGCTGGATCAGAGTGGACAAAAACCGGCGCCCATAATACAGGCCTCTAGGCAGTATCTTAACCACTGTGCCAAATACCTGCCTTAAATGTCCTGTATTCCAGTGCACTTACCCACCCCCTTTTAACACCTCTGAAATTACGATGCACCCTAAGTGTGTTTTCTACTCAATAAAAGACTGTGGGGCCGGCACTGAGGTGTAGTGAGTAAAGCTGCCGCCTGCAGTGTCGGCATCCCATGTGGGCGCCGGTTAGAGTCCCGGCTGCTCCACTTCCGATCCAGCTCTCTGCTGTGGCCTGGGAAAGCAGAGGAAGATGGCCCAAATCCTTGGGCCCCTGCACCCACGTGGGAGACCTGGAGGAAGCTCCTGGCTCCTGGCTTAGGATTGGTGCAGCGCCAGCCATTGCAGCCAAATGGAGAGTGAACCAGCAGATGGAAGACCTTTCTCTCTCTGCCTCTGCCTCTCTGTAACTCTGCCT